AGGTGCCCTCTCTGACTCCATTTTCTCGTTTATAAAATCAAGGACTTCTGCCAATGACCATCAAGGTTCATTTCAGCATTGAGATCCGGTGATCCTCTGCCAGACAGGGTAGCAGCACAGTGACCTAAAGGAGTTAATTCCTCTTGCAGAGTATTTCTAACCTTGCATTGGCCCAGGTGAGGCAGAACAGAAGGAGACGAGAAGGCAAGGCCGCCCATCATTTGCCTTTCATCTGTTTTCTTAATTTTCTTCCTAAGGAAAGTCACAGCTCCAATCAGCCCTCTAATCAATGGCTGCACTTACTCCTGCACAAATGAGCTAGATTTATTAAAGGAGTCTTCTCTTCAATGGAAATGGGCTCCCTGCTGGGGCTGCAAATACAGCCTAAGATTGACTGCTCCCAGAATAGGTGAAGACTTAAAGAAAACGAGAGCAGGCAAATAAGTGATGTGGAAGGGGGCACCCAAGGCCTCTTATGACCCCTCCACCACCATGACCATGAATAGGTGGTCACCAGGGGCAGCCTGGACGTGTGTGTGTCACTTAGGATGACCTTGAGCACAGTAGCTAGTAGTGAGTCACAGGCCAGCACACATACTCTGTCACTTCCCTACATCCCCTAGGACAATGATGGTGAACCTTTTGAGCTCAGCGTGTCAGCATTTTGAAAAACCCTAACTTAACTCTGGTGCCGTGTCACATATAGAAATTTTTTGATATTTGCAACCATAGTAAAACAAAGATTTATATTTTTGATATTTATTTTATATATTTAAATGCCATTTAACAAAGAAAAATCAACCAAAAAAATGAGTTCGCGTGTTACCCCTGAGACGTGTGTCATAGGTTCACCATCACTGCCCTAGGAGAAGAAGCTCACCAAAAAAAGACTGAAGGCGACACCCTTCCAAGTAGAGAACTTCACAGAACCGGAGGGTTTAAGGGCTGTCAGAATGGAAGGATCATTTGAGGATGATGTATAGCCACGAACTGAAGGGGTGTTCTGTGAAAGGACCCTGATATTTCTGAATCATTGATGGCCAGAAACAGAGGGAATTAATATTTTAACACTGCAAGAAATTATTCATGTTAAATAAAAATTAAATATGTGCATATTCATATTTGGGAGCTGGGAGCTCTTTGTTGATGGGAAGTAGACACTTTCTTAAACGTTTGGTTAGGTGGGGATACTTGGGACAGAAAAACTTAATCTGTCCTACAAAATAATGTCAAGCTCTGCCTGCACTGCAGGTATATTTACATTTCTGGAAATATGACTGTTTGATGGGGGCAGGTGTGTGGTTATGATGGGGAAATAGATTTCTTGTTTGTTTCCCCTTGAAACCTTGGAGAGTCTGAGAGGCCTGGACCTCAGCGTAGACTATGGACAAAGACACTCATGTGGGAGGCAGCTACCTGACCCTGGTAACGTGATGGAGAGAGAAAGATAGAAATAGAGACAGGGAGAGACCGAGAGAGAGGAGAGTCCTGTGCTATAAACAATAGAAGCCACGTTGCTTAGCATCTGTTTTTAAATTTTCTATTCTCGGCTAGAATTTCCTTCTGTTACCTTCAAACCTCAGTTTTGTTCAACATGTCAGCCTGAGAGTGAGCAGTCTGGAGAAACAAACCAGTTACAGGATGGTAAGAAGGATCAACACAGCAGAGATCCAGGGAAAAATAGTTTATGAAGATGATGAGGTCACCAGGATGGATTTGTGGAGTATGGAAACGTTCCTGGGGTAAACCTCCCTCCAAGAATGTGGACAGGGGAACCTGGTAGAAGGCCTGCCTTTCCCGCAGGTGGAAGAGGGGGCTGCCGCTGATGCTGAGTAACACAGGGAAGGCTGAGGAACTTCTCAGAGCTGGAGGTCTCAGGGTCATCTGGATCCTATAAGGAACAAAGTCCACAGGGAATCATGAATGACTTGCCCAGGGTCGCATAGCCAGTTGGTGACAAGCTCAGATGGAGACTTCTTGACTCTTAGTCTTGAGTTCTCTGGCGCTAGATTGGACCTTACCTCTCCCCACCTTACAAAGCCCAGTCAAGCTTTAAATACCACCCAGAGAGGGAGGGGAGGAAGGAAGAGGGCAGAAAGGAGAGGGACACGGAGAAGGACAGGGGAGCCATTCTGTGTTTAGGAGAAGAATACTTTCTAGCATTACTCTGACTGCTCGCCTTTCTCTTGACCCGATTCTGCTTTTGGAGACTTGCAGCCTATTGAAATTGGAAGATCAGTTAATCCCTTCCTTTTTACAGATAAGAGAAGCTGCCCACACAGACAGCAACATGGCGATTACCTGAGGGGAAGGAGGTAGAAGAGGGTACAGGGGGGATAAATGGTGAGGGAAGGAGACTCGGCTTGGGGTGGTGAACACACAATACAATGCATAGATGATGCAGTATAGAATCGTATACCTGAAACCTACAAAAAATAAAGAAAAACTTCCCAGGCAGTGGAAGTGACTTACCTAAACTTACTGACAGCTAAAGGTCAGAGTGTGTTTGGAAGCAGAGAACAAAGAGGCAATGACAAAATATGGAGGGAGAATGGAGAAAAAGAATTACCCCAATAAGCCTGTCCCTCAACTCCAAGAAGTGGTTCTGAGAATAAGCCACAAACTATGCAGCTGTCTTACTCTTTCCTTCCTCAACCTCTAAAATAACTAGAGGGAGGAAATACATCCTCTTCCCAGTCTCCCATCCACTCTGCCTGATGCCGTCCTCTTTCCCTTGCTTAAGTCTGGTTCCCCCAACACTCCCTGCTCCTTCGGGGTAAGAACTGGGGTCCAGGAACTGTACCGTACCACATGCTATTCTTTTATAAAACACCTCGCACAGTTTAGAATCAGCAACTCATACTCCATAAAACACCTGTGTATCGATCACTCTTTGAGAAAACTTGAAAAACTTCTCCTGGTGCAAATTCTTAAATCATAAGGGAAAACGTAAAAGTGGGGAAATGAAACTCAGCTTTCTCATCTGAGAAATGGAGAGGAAGTTGCAAGGGCAACGTTAGCTACTGTCTTGACAGACCACAATCTGCCAACTGTGAGGCTTCCTCCCTTTCCCTGGCACCTCCTTCCCTCTCGTCCCCCCTACCACTGCACAGGGCTCCGCATGTGACCAAGGCCTCGAAGGACTCCCGCAGCGACACAGCCAGAAATTGCTTGAGGCCTGTGAAAGGCGGCTGCTCTTTACGGCCTTCATATTGTTGTGTTGCAATTGAAATTCTGAGCCTGGAAGTGAGGGATGGCGGTGCTGAGTGCATTTGTAGTTGCGGATGCTGTCAGAACACGGAGCTGTTTTGCCTCCTGGGATGGGGAACAGTCAGAGTTCAGGCTGGAAGCTGGAAGCGGGACATATTTGCAACCAGAAAACATCTTCTCAGGCGGGTGAGAAGAGCTGTGGCAATTGCTCCCTCTTCCTAATGTCTCCTCCCCAGAATCTACCGCTAATTTCCCTCTTTGTGTCTGTGTGTCATTAAAATGTAACTCATAATGTTAAATGAGGCCCTGAAGTTCAAAGGTAACTATGGGAGCTGTAGAACTATTCATGGAAAGCTTGGATTTTCAATAGTCTCCAGTCTTCATTGCGGAACATTCCAGGGAGCTGTGGGGAGGAGTGGGGGGACTAACTCAAACCGACTTTTTCCTCAACTGAAGAAAAAATAGTGGAGAGGAGCAAGTATGTTTCTGCCGAAAGAGCCATTACAAAGCCTTTTGCCTGGCATTATGCGCCACTTAATCTTTTCCACTTGAAAAGAGGATTCCAAGTTTCTTTTTTGTCAAGCCGGTCTCAGCTCCACAGCCCTACCAGAGAGCGACCGCACGCAACCGCCACCCTTTCATTCAGGCAAATCTAGGCAGAGCTGGAGACAGACTCCATTCTGTCCCCCATCCTCTGACCTTCACTTCTGAAAGCCACTTGCTTTCAAGGTGAACAAGTCTTGTCCTGGAACCAATTAAATATATATACCACAGTGACTGGAGTGTTCTCCAAAGGATGTGCAAGGGGAGTACCCAGAAAGAGGAGGCATTTCAGAATGAATTATTGATCAAGATTTTTCTCTTACACACACACACAAATACAAGGGTCTGGCATTCCTCACCAGGGGGAGATTGTATCTTGTGTGGTCTTCACAGGGTTAAGAAAAAGATAACCTCTTTGCTCCAAATTCTATTTATTTGGCAAATGGAAAATGTGTTTACATCTCTGTGTATCTCTTTTTCTTTGGTTTTCCAGAAAGCCTGAATCAGCAGATTTCAGAAGAATGCTAACGCATCTGACAGGCTTAGAGAAATGATCTGTCACATGAAAAAAATAGTTGGGGGGAAAAAACACTTTTCACTTAGGTAGCAGTTTTATCCTAGTCTCTAAACAGGTTATGGGTATTAATTAAATGTTGTCACGCATGGTCACCTTGGTTCTATTAACCCAAGTGGAAACATCAGGTTTGATTACTATTAGCAGTGGGGAAACTGAGGCAATGTAGAAGGATGGATTAAATAGTCACTGAGGAAGTTAAGGGAGCTGTCTCCTGTGAATAGACCAATCTCACTCATCTCATGAGCACTACGATGGGGATGACAAACCAGGTACAGTTCACCTAATTCTGGTCTCTTCACTCCCACTGGCTGCCATTTCTGCTAACCCAGCTCATGGAGCTGTCTCCTTGCAGGTCCACTTAGTGGCCATTACCATGCATTAGTTCCCTATGGTTGTATAACCAATTACCACAGCTTAGAGGCCTAAATAGCACACATTCATTGTGTCACAGTTTCAGCAGATCGGGAGTCCCAGCATGACTCGGCTGAGTCCTATGCTTAGGGTCTCGGGTGGCTGTGATGAAGGTGTGGGCTGGGGCTGGACTCTCATTTGATGAAGAATCTGCTTTCCTGCGCACGTGGTCTTGGCAGCACCCTGCTCCTTGCAGCTGTCTTGTGCTGGCTGCGGGGCGTGGTTCCTAAGGGCCCCGGGCAGTTCCTTGGCACATGGATCTTCTGATCGTGCCCACTTTCATCAAGGAGAGCGTTTAGAGTCTGATATCAAGAAGGAGCCTTATACAACAGAATGTAATTACATCAGTGGTTCTCAACCTTGGCTGCACATTAGAGTCACCTTGGAATCACCTTGGCTTCTCTTATCAATCCTCTGCAATGAGGCCCAGAAATCAGGATTTTTAAAAAATTCCCAGGTGATTCTAATGTGCAGCCAAGGTTGAGAACCACTGAATTACATGATGTGCTTTGTCATCACAAAAGGGGACATCCTATCACGTTTGCTGTATTCTGTTGGTTTAGAACAGTGATGGCGAACCTTTTGAGCTCGGCGTGTCAGCATTTTGAAAAACCCTAACTTAACTCTGGTGCCGTGTCACATATAGAAATTTTTTGATATTTGCAACCATAGTAAAACAAAGACTTATATTTTTGATATTTATTTTATATACTTAAATGCCATTTAACAAAGAAATATCAACCAAAAAAAGTGAGTTCGCGTGTCAGAGGTGAACAAGTCTTGTTCTGGAACCAATTAAATATATATACCACAGTGACTGGGTACTTTAAATATTAAGTGTCATAGGTTCGCCATCACTGGTTTAGAAGGAAATCACAGGGGCCACCCTGGAGTCTGTCTGCCACACCCAGGAATCTGGAAGTAAAAACTCCTTCACACAGTTAAGTTTTAGAGTAGGCTTTCAAAAGAAAAAGTTAAGGAATTGGTCAGATTATTTTATATTCTCCATCTTCCACAAGACAGGAGAATTCAGCAGAACATGGAAGCCATACAAAAATAGGTGTTTAATAAAGAACTCAGGAAAGCCCCAGCAGTTTGGTTCATTCATTATGATATACAGGATTAATATACTCAACTAACAGCCAGAGTGCTAAAATGCCACCTTCAGGTCCCCTTTTATA